AGGGAAAACCACCATGTGATTACCTAATATGTTGTCATATAGAATCAAATAAATCTTTCAGAGTTAGAGAGAACCACAGAAATTATCTAGCACTAGCTCCTAATTTTACAGCTAAGAAAACTAAAGAAAAAACAAGAATAACTAAGACTCTCTCTTGAAGAAGAAGCTGAGATAGCTTTTTATAAAAGACAGTGTAGTATCGGCAAAGCAACAGGCAAATAGATCAAAGGACAAAATCGGGAACTCACAGAAAAGACCTATGCACTTATCGAAACTGGATATGTGACCGAGTTAGTACTAGAGATGGACAGGAAAAGAGTGCATTTATCAATAAAAGGTTCTGGGACAGTTGGTTACCCATATGGAAGAAAAATAACATGGCACATCCTACCTCATTCCATAACAAAAAAAATTTTTTAATCCCAAGTAGATTGAAAGCATAAATGTTAAGACATAAATACGTGGAATTTTATACCATGTTTATGACTTGGAGTAGGAAAGGATTTCTTAAACAAGACATAGAAAGCACAAAACATACAGAAATAGATTAACAAATGTGACTACATTAAAGTTAAAAACACCTGCTTATCAAGACACACTATTAAAAGAATGCAAAGAAAATCCACAAAAATACCAAAAGATACTGGCAACACATGTAAATAACAAAGGACATGTATCCAGGATATGTGTAGATTTTCCATGAATTGATAAGAATAAGACATTCCAATAGAAAAAGAATGTTAAAGACATTTGAACAGTTACTGCATAGAAGGTGGAACCCTAAATGAACGATAACCTAGCAAGAGATATTCAATCTCACTATAAGAAAACACAAATTAAAGCCACAATGACTTCCAATAACGCACCCACCAGACTGGCCCAAAACTTCTACAATACTAAGTGTTGATGAGTGTGCGGTGCAATAAGAATTCTTTTACTGTAGGTGGGATTACAGATTGGTGCTAGCGCTTGGAAACTTTCCCTAGTGAGGCGACATGAACATAAGCCACAACCCAGATAAATGGACACGTGTGTCAGGGAAATGTGTAAAAGTACTCATGGCAGCACTACCTATCCAAAACACGAGAAAGCACCCAAAGTCTTTTTAGCAGATAAATTGTGGAACATGTATGCAATTAAATACCCAAAAGCAATGAAAATTTTAACAAATCACGGTTCACACATCAACATGAATGAAATGTAAAAATAATAAGACTGAGTGAAATAAACAAGTCACAAAATAATATTTCCTGTACAATCCCTTGTACATAGAATTCAGGTGTGGTAAAATTATTTTTGTTAAAGCAAAAAACTGGGGCTTCTGGGTGGCTGAGTCGATTTAGTGTCTGACTTTGGCTCAGGTGACGATCTCATGACTTGTGAGTTCGAACCCCACATCAGGCTGACATCTCATATCCTGGAGCCTGCTTCAGATTCTGTGTCTCCCTCTTTGTGCCTCCCCTGCTTGTGCTCTGTCTCTCTGTCTCTGTCTCTGTCTCTCTCTCAAAGATAAATAAACATTAAAAGAATTTTTTTTTGAAAGCAAAAAAAGGAATACAAAAATCAAGATAGCTATTTTCTCTGGGAATAAAGAGAGCACAAGGTAGTGTCCAAGTTACTGGACAAGGTAAGAGATTTTATTCTAGATCAAAGTCTTATATTTATGACTTGGGTTATAGTTTATGGCTTTTATGGCTTTATGATTATTGTTTATATTACACATATGCATGTTTTATATTACCTTATCTATGTATGATATATTTTGCACCACAGAAATAATTTTTTTAAAAAAGGCAATAAAACCAATATGGAAGAAAGGGTACTAGGCTTGGAGTCAGGAGGTACTACCATAAATTCAAATGTTAAAAAAAAAAACCAGGTTTCTGTAAACGTTTAGTCACTCAACTGTTCAGTAGTGGAAAGAGTATTTGGAGCAAGGAGAAGCAGAGTAGTGGATAGTCTTTTTAAGTTCTTTGGATAATATCATGGACTACTTTTGAAGTCTGGGGATACTTAAAAAAATTTTTTTTTAATGTTTATTTTTGAGAGACAGAGAGAGACAGGGCATGAGCAGGGGAGGGGCAGAGGGAGAGGGAGACACAGAATCCGAAGCAGGCTCCAGGCTTGAACTCATGAACGGTGAGATCATGACCTGAGCCAAAGTCAGACACTTAACCAACTGAGCCACCCAGGTGCCCCAAAGCCTGGGGATACTTAAGCATCATTCCATTGCCTAGACATCAAGTACTTTCTGAATGCCAGACTCTTTGTGGCATTTCTTTGTGTTATCACAACAAATCTACAAAGACTGTGCTATTGTATCTGTTCTATAGACAAGAAATCTGAGGCTCAGAAAAGTCAAATGCCTTGCCCAAATCAATCCAGTCAAGAAGGAGATAGTACACCAGAACTCCTTAAACTCTATTGTGCACATGAATCTCCTGAGATATTAAAATGCAGATTCTGACTTCAGGAGTTCTGGGAACCAAGAATCTGCATTTATAACTGGTCCACAGACCCACTCTGAATATCATGGTTTCTGGAGCCATGCTGCCTGGAACCATGATGCTACCATTTAATAGTTTTATGGCACAGGACAGTTACATTCCTTTTTCTCATCTGTAAAATGGGGGTAATAATAAGGCTTAGTTCATCAGGTTGTTGTGATGTTTATAATACTCATGCAGGGTTTTGAATAGTGCCTGGCACTTAGAAAGCATTTGAAAATAGTAGTCATTTTTAGTAAGTAACATAGAGCTACATTTCTAATGAAAATTTCACTATTACTAAAGGAGCTAATAAATTATACCAGAGAGCCCTTGGCACAAACATTAGGAAAAATTGCCAAGAGAATCCTAGCAAGAAACTCTGCCATTTTGACTTTTTATACTCTATTCATACGTCTTGCCCAATCTTGTTACTTCATGTAACTTTATAGAAAAATACTTAATACCCAGCAGACTTGCTTATGTGGAGAATAATTTCCCACATCTTTCTGCAAACTAGCTGCACTATGTATGAGGAAACAATTTTCTGGGAAAACAGCTAAGACTGGGAATCCATCCAGTTGTTTAAAACTGCTGATCAAATCCAGACTGACAAACAATTAAAAAAAATTTTTTTTCATGTATTTTTGAGAGACAGAGTGTGAGCAGGAGAGGGGCAGAGAGAGAAGGAGACACAGAATCTGAAGCAGGCTCCAGGCCCTGAGCTGTCAGCACAGAGCCTGATGTGGGGCTCGAACCCACGAACCGTGAGATTATGAACTGAGCCGAAGTCGGATACTTAACTGACTGAGCCACCCAGGTGCCCCAAACACTTTTTAATAGAAACTATTTTGAAGTTAAAATGTTACATTAAATGGAATCATTGACTAATGGTATTTTGGGGGTATTTCTCACTGTTTGCAAGTGAGAAACAGCATTAGTACCAAAGTCCTCTCTTCCCCAACATCCTGACAACACTGCTGTCCCTCCCTAATCATTCAGGTTCCAGCTGTGATGTGGTCTTTGTTCATTCCTTTCCTTTATCAGCCTGTAAGATTATAGTCAGCAAGTTTATAAAGGATCTTAACACCACCAATAACCGTGGTCTTTGGTCAGTGGAGAAGCAAGCCAATTAGCTTGGTTGTAAATGCACTTTCCAAAGAAAATAAATGTGTGTTCCCATTTGAGAATGCAAGAAACCTACTGGGAAATAATAACTTGGATGCCATAAACCACTCCTGCCCACCCCAACAAAGGGACGACAATCCGATTCAGCCAAGGGACAAGCAAAACAACTTAGCTGAGTCTCCACAGGTACATCTGTCAGAATGATTAACCTTAGTCACAATCAGACATAGTGACCTCCATTAGTTAGATAATGGAGGTGAAAACAGATCGTGTTCCTTTATTTCCTGGCCAATTACACAGCCCTATTTTCCTCTGTGTTCAATAGAAGTGACCTAAAAGCTTTTGAGGCACCAGTCTAGGTACAACAACCCTTCAAAAATTATTTTGTTCTCTCCTTTCTTTGAAGGGGAAAATATCCCAAAGGGTGCTGTTTTGTAGACCAGCAGAGACTGTTTAACTGCACTCTGGAATAGAGAAGAAAAGCAAATCTGCCTGGTGGCATTTGCAGTTGGATTTCCTCTTTCAGACAACAATTAATTTAGCCCATTGTCTGAAAAAGAGGCTGAGCTCACTGTGAGCTGGGCTCTGTTTACACTGGATTCTATCATTTCGTTTCCATAGCTTTGTGAGTTTGAAAGTCAAACCAAACTCATAATTAGGTTACTTGTTTAGATAAAATATTTATTATTATTATTATTATTATTATTATTACTATTTGGGGTTAAAATTCTCTCTGGGAATGTCCCACAAAGACACGAGGGAAGTGATACAGGAATCCCAGAGTGCTCTTTCCTGAAGACAGAGGAAAGGTTGCAAAACCTACGGAAACACAGGAGTATCTGCGAATTTGAAAAATTGTACAAACATTGACTATGCACCAGTTTAATGCTGAGTTACTGAGACAAATGCAAAGGGTCTCTGCCCTCAGCATCTCATCCCCCGTTCGGCAGGCATTCAAGATTTGGTTCTGCCCTTCTCAGGACAGCACAGGAGAGGGGCAGCTACTAACTTACTGAGAGGCCAGGCTAGCCCCCTGACCTCCTTTCCCACACTGGTATGCATATCACCAGCTTAAAAGGAACTTCTTGGTCACAGATCCACACCCAGAGTTGCCTAGAATACTCCCCAGTCGTTGTATCCAGGAACTGGTATAGGCTGAGCCACCACACAGGATGAGTTGTGGAAACTTCTCCAGCACACTGAAACATTTCAGGCCTGCCCTCCAGTACTGGCACCTGGCAACCACAAGCCACCACCTTTTCCTCTCTTCCTCTGAGCACATGCTCCTGCTCACTCCCTTCCTGTAACAAGGCCACTGTGTGACACTTCTGCCCTGCCGGACCGCCTTCTCTCTCTCTTTCTCTCCACCTCTTCCTTCCCACTTACTGCTTCTTCATGAAGTGCTGAAGTGCCAGGAACTCATAGCACCGAAAATCAAAGATTAATAGAAAAGCGTTTCCCTGTGAGGTTGCACTGGAGTTGTTTTCTCCCTCCTCCCGCCAAGCGGACTTCCTGGTCTTTGTTTATCATCGGCTCAGGGCTAAACTCACTGAACCTAGCAGTCTCTGGGCTGCAGGGCTAATGGAGGAAGGCCTGGCGGGAAGCGAGGCAGCTGCTCTCACCTCACTTCCATCCTCTGCCTACTCCCAATGCCATGTAGCTGTTAGAATCCCAACGTGACAGAAGAGAAATTCTGATCAGAGAAGTTAATTGGCCTGCCCGGGAGCACACAGCTCATATGGTCTCCTTCTGAGATGCATGACCAACCCCCCACACAGTCTTGCAGAGCCTCTTGATCTTTTCCTGCTCCCAGAGTCGAGGGCTCCTCTGCATTACCACAGAAAACCATCTCTCTCTCTTTTTTTAAGTTTTTATTTATTTTGAGAGAGAGAGAGAGAGATTGAGCGTGAGTGGGGAGGGGCAGAGAGAGAGGGAGAGAGAGAATCCCAAGCAGGGATCTCTCTGCACTGTCATCGCAGAGCCCAGTGTGGGGCTCACACCCACGAACTGGGGGATCGTGAAACCAAGAGTCAGACACTTAATGGACTGAGCCACCCAGGTGGCCCGGAAGACTGTCTTTTAGAGGTGGAGCAAGGGCTGCAGGCCATGGGGAAGGGGCATGGCCTTCTGACAGGAGTGGCAGCATGAGGCCCAACACTGGGGCCTGCTGTGGTGAAGAAGGTCAAGCACAGAGCCACTTCCTCAGAAGGCCTGATGGTTTCGCTTTCCCACTGCTTCTGCTCATTTCTTTTAAACTATATATCACTGCTTAACAAATTTCATGTTTCTTTAAAGTCAGTGGGAAAGTGCCACTTCTGGAAGGCTGTGCTCAGAAAGTCATTTTGCTTCCTGCTCCCTAGCCCCCTTCTTTCCTGAGTTCATCTTACCTTTGCTCTGTGCATGGGAGCTGGAAGTCTGCACCTGCCAGCACAGCTCATCAGGGCTCCCTGCAGAAGTGACACGGCTGTTTGTAGTAGCCCCAGGAGCCGGTAAGGGCATTGCCTTAGCTCACCACTCCCATCCCCATCACACCCACCCCACCCCCCCCATCACAAAAACACAAATCTTATTGGAAACGCAGTGTCTGGTACGCATCTGCAGCTGCCAGGTGAGTGCTCTCTCACATCTCCCACTGTGCTGTTCTCATCCAGGACCACACAAGCCACTTCACAGAAAGTCTGCAGCCACCCCTATGCCACAGCTTTATCACCTTTGAGAAGGCCTGTCATCCTGAGACGCCAGTCTATGGTATCTTCAGGTATTTTCAGTTACTGTTTCCACTTAAAAAGTAATACCCTCCTTCATCCACCCACCTGTTTACCCAAAATTTATTGGTGGGACAATGATACTTCTCAGCGTACCAGAATGGTACTGGTTTATGCCTTTTATCCTGGCATAGTTATTAATGGCATCCTCTTTTACTACCAAAAGCAACCCAGTTTGGGGGATAAGTTATTTGGTCACCTTATTGGGGCGCCTGGGTGGCGCAGTCGGTTAAGCGTCCGACTTCAGCCAGGTCACGATCTCGCGGTCTGGGAGTTCGAGCCCCGCGTCAGGCTCTGGGCTGATGGCTCAGAGCCTGGAGCCTGTTTCCGATTCTGTGTCTCCCTCTCTCTCTGCCCCTCCCCCGTTCATGCTCTGTCTCTCTCTGTCCCAAAAATAAATAAACGTTAAAAAAAAAAAAAAGTTTTAATATTTGGTCACCTTATGTATTGAATACATGCTATAGGCCGGCCCTGTGACAGGTCCTAATGATGCAAGGATACATTAAACAAAGCCACTTCCTTTCAGGAGCTCACAAACTCAAGAACCTTATCTCTACATTGTACAAGGATCTCTGAGCAGGTATTATCTTTGATGGCTCACCCCAACCTGTCTTTCCCTTCTGGTCACCCTCACTCAGACCCAGTTAATTGGTGTTGCTGTGGCGTTCTCTCACCCTGTTGGCTGTCAAGCCTGTTACCCTCAGTGTCCTGCAAGAACCCATGTGTCCTGCAAGAACCCATGTGGCTATATATTACATTTCAGCATCTCATGGGGACATTTGTGTGTGGCTTTTCCAGGTCCCATAGACTTGTGTGCCCTTACATTACCTACATGGATGTCCTGAGACACTCCATTAATATCCCCTATGAACACTTTCATGTCCCTCTTCAGTGGGAACGGACCATTGCTTTCCTTTGGTCTCATGTGGCTGCTACTTGTACCCATCCATTTTCCCATGTGGATATTCCTGTCCATCCTTCTAGTGTTGCACGTTGGGCTTTTGTACCACTCCAATAATGCAGGCTCCACCAGTAGACCCCCCGCTTGAAGGTTGCAGGCCCTGAAGGGTTACCGAGTAGCAAGGAGTCCTTGGCTGCAAATGTGAACAGAGCAAATTTCATGAATGGTTAAAAAAAACCCTCCTCTTATTTAAAAAAAACCCTCCTCTTTCCTCTACCTCAGAGCCACTTGGTAAGTTTGTATGAACAGCAGATTTCTAGGTTTCATTCTAGGATTGGGCCCCGGGGTTTTTATTTTAGACAAGTTCCATGGTGCTATGGTCTAAATGTTTTTGTCTCTCCCAAATTCATATGTGGAAGCCCGGTACTCAACGTGATGGTATTAGGAGGTGGGGCATCTGGGAGACGATAAGGTCATGAAGGTGGAGTCCTCGTGAATGGGATTAGCGTCCTTCCAAAAGAGGCTCAAGCGAGCTCTCCCCAAGTAGGGGGGGCCACTGCAGAGGGCCGTTGGGTTGGGGCCACCCCTGCAGGCCCAAGCAGGTAGAGCTGCCAGAACTTCAATAGGAACTTCACCCAGCCCAGGCCCGAGTCTCCACAGGGGCAGGACCACCCGAAGCCAAGGGAGCAGGGCCACCAGAGCCTTGGAGGCCCAACCTCTGCCCCAATGCATCCAGAAGATACTGGATTTTAATTAGTATTTTGAAAGGATGGTTTTGATGTGCAGCTTGGGTTGAGAACCAGTGGTTTGGCCCTCCTTTCTTCTATTCTCTCTTCTCTCTGTGAAATATCCTCTTTTTCTTCCTAACCAAATATGGGTTTCTTTGTGTATTTCTCTTTATCCCCTGTGCTCCATGCAGTTCCTTGCCTCAGAGGAAGCTAACTGCACTCTTGACTGCAGGAGTAATTTTTCATTGCTAATTAATGCTCATTGCTCAAGAACAATCTGAAAATCTTCATGGAAAAAAACAGGGGACCCAATTCTGGCCAATGAATCATTAGGAGAACTTGCCAGAGATGTCTGGAAAAGTTCTTCCTCATTCTTTTTTTTTTTTTTTTAATTTTTTTTTTCAACGTTTATTTATTTTTGGGACAGAGAGAGACAGAGCATGAACGGGGGAGGGGCAGAGAGAGAGGGAGACACAGAATCGGAAACAGGCTCCAGGCTCTGAACCATCAGCCCAGAGCCCGACGCGGGGCTCGAACTCCCGGACCGCGAGATCGTGACCTGGCTGAAGTCGGACGCTTAACCGACTGCGCCACCCAGGCGCCCCTTTTCTTCCTCATTCTTAAGAGTAAGTCATTATTGGATTTCCAACTTAATAGCAGAGTAGCTTGTATTGTACTACTTTTCTGCTGGCAACAGGTATAAGTTTTGAACAAAATATAGGAAGAAATAACCGTTGTTTCAAAGCCCTGGAAAGCAACTCAGAACAGACAAAAACTGAAAGGGAGACAGTCTTGAAGAAAGGGAAGCATGCTGGGTAAAATATCACATTCCCCATCACTTTCTTGAGAGAGTTCTCTCGACCTCAAGATGCAAAGGGAACAGAACTCAGGCAGAAAACAGCAGTCTTGCTGAGTTGAAGAGTCAGAGGATAGTTTGTAGGGTTATTATAGTCACACCTGGAAAACGAAAAGAAAATTCCAGGAATGAGGGAGCTACACAGAAGTGAGTCCCAAAATCCAAGTACAAACATACCTGAAATGCTTGGCTGACTCCTAAACTATGCATGTCCATGCAAAGTCTCCAGGGAACTCAGCCAGAGAGCAACTCTGGAAACCTGAAAGAGATGGGCAAGGATTTTAGCAATTACTTAACGTTACAAAACCTGAGTATGGAGTTCAAATCATGCTAAGTTGGAAGGTTTAGTAAACACCTTGGTCTTTCCGCTGAAATTTCAAGGGCCAGGTCTTAAGAGTAACCACCGAAATCCAGGACTAACAGCTATGCCCTAGAACTAATGGAAACACAAAATGAACCTGCCAAAACAAAGCCTGTAACCAAGCCTCTGTAGGATCAAGGTGATTCATCTGTAATTTAACTGTCTGCTAGGGGAAAAAAAAAAAAAAAAAAACCTCAACACACCTTTCAGGAAGATTACAGAATCCACAGTTTCTACAATGTATCACTGACAATGTCTGGTATATATAAGAAAAAATTTCTAGGAGTGTGAAGAAACCAGAAAATGAGATCATATAACATTTTTTTAAAAGTTGATAAAGAGCTCGGGGTGACCCAGATGTTTGTGTTAGTAGACAGGTACTTTAAAACTATTAAAAATATATTTAAAAAGTCAATAGAAAAAAATTGATACAATCAGTTAAGGGATGGGAAATTTCAACAGAGACATGAAATTCTGAAAAAGAACCAGATGTAAATCCTAGAAGTGAAATAAACAATGTTGAAATCAAACATTTATCAAATGAGAATTATAGAAAGATATGGTAGAAGAAACTTGATGAAGTTTGATGACAAAGTTGATGACAAGTCGATAAAAAATATGCAAATGGGGGGCGCCTGGGTGGCTCAGTCCGTTGAGCATCCAACTTTGGCTCAGGTCATGATCTCAAGGTTTTAGGGTTCGAGCTCTGCATCAGGCTCTGCACTGTCAGTGCATGGGATTCTCTCTCTCCTCTCTCTTTCTGCCCCTCCCCAACTCATGCTTTCTCTCTCTTTCTCAAAATAAATAAATAAACTTAAAAACAAACTGAACCACAGAAGGAAGGAAAATTGAAAAAGGAGGAGAGAACAGAAT